CTAAATATATCATCTCATGTAATACAATAACCCATTTTTTCTGTTTTAAAAAGAATTAAAATGGGGACCAGCAATTGGCATAATGGTTATGTTGTTGGACTCCCATGTAGTAGACCACGGTTCGAGTCTCGGACTCGGTGGCTTAAAGTCATGAAGGGTGTGTGTGTGTGTGTGTGTGTGTGTGTGTGCCCAAGATCTGAAGAGGAGAATGGAGAAGGGATTGCGGCGTGGCCATCCCCCCTGGGGGGATGATTTCTCGCTTTCTGTGTCTCTGTGTCTCTCTGGCAAGTGCACGCGCCCTATAGCAAAAACCTCTCTCAAAATAAATAAATAAATAAATAAAAGACCCTAAAAGTCACTCTCTCCATCAACTTTCCCAATGCTAATGGCAGTAGAAACTCCTGCTCCTGGGACTAACGGATGGTGTAATGATTATGTTGCTAGACTCCCACGTAGTCAACTCCAGTTCAAGTCTGGACCTGGTGGCTTAAAACTCATGCCAGGTATATGTGCGTGTGTACCCAAAATCCCGAGAGGAAATTGGAGAAGGGATTGCAGCGTGACCGTCCCTGCTGAGGGGTGATTTCTTGCTGTCTCTGTCTTTTCTGGTGAGTGCATGCACCCTATGGTAAAAAAAGTCTCTCTCTCAAAAAAAAAAAAGCAAGGGGCCAGCAGGTGGCATGGTGGTTAAGGGTGCTGGACTCCTACATGGCCAACTGCAGTTCGAGTTCTGAATTTGGCATCTTGCTTTCTCACCTTCTCTTTCTGTCTTGCTCGCTCTATCCCTGTCTGGTCAAATTTAAATAAATAAATAAATAAATAAATAAAATAATTCTTAAAAAAAAAAAAAAAAACTAGAATAAAACAAAACACCTGCTTTTGCTTCTGATTTGGGAAAAGTCCATGGTCCTAGTTTGTGCGTTAGCTAGAGAATTTGCTGGAAAATCTTTTTATCACCTCAGGGAGAAGAGCACTCTTCTCCCTCTTGAGAGTCCTCTCGGCCCTGGGAGAGCCCAGTGGTGTGGCTTTGCAGCAGCTGAACCATGAGAGCATTGCCCACTGACCAAGCTGCAAAAGAAACAGGAAGGACAGTGAGGCAGTGGGCACGGGGCCTCCACTCCAGACCTCTGGGATGCCATAGGCTGGGCTAAGAGAGAGTTAAAATAGCTGCTCTCTGGTGAGAGAGAACAAACTCTGACCTCCCCAGGAAAGTAAATAAGCCGTGGTGGCTCAGTCTGAACTCGGTTTGCACAATCTTTTTTTTTTTTTCTTTTAAGACGTTTTCCTTAGGGCGCATGCACTTGCTGGAGATAGCGACAGAGACAGTGAGTGGGAAGGGGATGGCCACGCCGCAATCCATTCTCCTCCATTCTCCTCCTGGGATCTTGGGCACGTACACACGTGCGCACTGCTTCATTGGCTGGTAACTTTACTGCCAGTGGTGGGCTCTGAGCATGTGATCAGAAGCCCCTCCAGTTACCACTTGCCTGTTCTACTTGTGTCCACTCCAGGGCTCTTGGAGCTAGTTCTTCAGCAGTGGTGACCAGCATGGGCTTGCCTTCTCCTTTATTCTGTAGGCCTGGCTATGTTCCTGCTTCAGAATCAATAAAAAAAAGCGTGGGCAGCTCCTACTTCACATGTGTGGATTTGGGCCAAGATGCCGAAACCAAAGAATTCAGGTGCCAGGTTAGCAGCCAACAAGTCTGGGCATGCTGGCTCTTGTTTATAGGAGGAAGTGCCCAGCCTGAGTTTCAAGCCACCAGGTCTGGGCCTTGAATCCCAGTCAGTCATGTGGGAGTCCAGTGACGGAACCACTGTGGCATCTGCTGGCCCTCCTGTATTCAGTGTTACAACCAGGATGGCAATGCACAGTTCTCTCCTTGGTGAGAGCTCATCCTTGGGTGCCCACGAAATCCCTCCTGGGGAGGGAGGGGTGCCTGGGCCCTCAGCAAAGCTTTTGCTCCCTCTTAGAGGAACTGCTGGGATGCCTCCTCCCTAATGCACAGCCCACCTGCCCTATACAGCCCTTGGAGACTTCACTTCTAAATTGCCAGGCCTGGGTCAAGAGCCACCATATAAGGCCTACAGCGGATCCCGGAGGCCAGCTGGGCTAGGTGGTGACCGTTCCACCTGACCTCTGGCCCTTGACCTCTGCTTGATGCTCTGCCCCCCATGCCAGGGCCGTTACTATACTGGAAGCTGTCCTCTGAGGACCCTGTACAGATTGTAAGGTCCACCCAGGCCCCATTAAAACTGGCCAGTCTCCGCCTATGTGTTTCTTTCCCCGAAGACCCTTTTAGACCTAACCCCTGAGTTACCACATGTGAGCAGTGAGGACCCGTGCAGACTGTGGAGTCTAACCTCCTTTTATGGATGGAGGGAGGGAGGGGACACATTAATGGCAGAGCAGGGGCATGAGGTGGGTCTCCTTTATAAGCCAGTCCTCTTCCCCATCACCATATTACCTTTCAAAGGAATGACTGACCAGTGGTGGGCTTTGAGCATGAGATCAGAGAGGCCCCTCTGATCAGCACCTGCCTGCTCTGCCTGTGTCCACTCCAGGGTGCTCGGAACTGTTTCTTCAGTGGTGACCAGTGTGCGCCTCCTCCCTTATTCTGTAGGCCTAGCTGTGTCCCAGCTTCTGAATCGGTTAAATAAAGTGTGGGCAGCTCCTCCCTTTGCATGTCTGGATTTGGGCCAAGATGCTGGAACCAAGGAGCCCGGTTGCCAGGTGAGCAGCCGATGAGCCTGGGCATGCCGACTCCCGTTCACAGGAGGAAGGACACTGCACACCGGTGACACGGGGCTCCCTGCAAGCTCCAGAACATCGGCAGCCTGGGGAAGGCACGCCATCCCTCCAGCACCCAGAGCCCTCATTCAGTGCTCACCACAGACCTCCCGCCTGTGGCCTGTGCCAGCCAGTATGCTGAAGGTACAGCCGGGGCAGGTGGGGATGCAGAGGGCAGGTGGCTTGTGACTGATGGTGTGAGGCTCACCCTGGTAGCAGCCTTGCTGAGCAGCTACCTTCTGTGGAATGTCTTTCCTCTCCTGAAGTGGAGGGAAGGCAGCAGAAAGCTCTGGATCCTCTCGCTGACAGGCTGGCCTAGCTGGGTTTATTAGTTGTCTCCCACACCAGCGTGGCCACACTCTGGGAACACGGCCATAGAGGCCATCCGTGCCAGGCACACTCCTGCCCAGGGCCTCAGTACTCACTCTCCCCTCAGCCTGGTGCATCGTCACCCCAGAGAGCAGGTGGCCACTCCCCAACTCCTCAGGTGGACAGAGTCCCTTCTCCACAGCACATTTCTTCTTCCTATTCTTTATATTTTCCAGATTTATTTTGTGTATTGGCCACATGCCTTCTCTCCAAACAGCAAAGCCCATGAGGGCATGCCTGGCTGTGCATTGTGGCCTAGGGCAGATCTGCACACAGTGCCCGTCCCTCACTCCCTCAGCACTGCCCAGGCTTGGATGTCATCACATGGTCCTGCTAGTTGTGTGCGAACCTGGGAACAATAAACTGCCAAACTCCTGGGCTCGTCACTGCTGAATCTTAAGAGGGTCCAGCAAGAGACCAGCAGATAGCTTAGCGCCTTCTCACTGGACTCCCACGTGGTTGACCATGGTTAGAGTCCTGGACCCAGCAATTTAAAACTCACACTGGGGACCAGCAGTTAGCGTAATGGCTATGTCACTGGACTCCCATGTAGTTGAGTGCGGTTCGCATCCCGGACTCGGTGGCTTAAACCCATGCCGGGAGCGTATGCGTGCGTGCCCAAGATCCCAAGAGGAGAATGGAGGAGAAGGGATTGCGGCGTGACCATCCACCTGGGGGGTGATTTCTCACTTCCTGTCTCTCTGTCTCTCTCTGTCTGGCGAGTGCACTCGCCCTATAGCAAAAACCTCTCCAAAACAAAAACAAAAACAAAACAAAACCTCATACTGGGCATGAACTTGCGCGCATGCCCAAAATCCAGAGAAGAGAATGGAGGAGAAGGGTCCAAGGCATGGCCATACCCACCCCCCGGGGATGATTTCTTGCTTTCTGTCTCTGTTTCTCTGGCAAGAGCAGCCATCCTATAGCAAAACAAACAAACACAAACTCTCTTAAAAAAGGGGGTGGTCCAGTGAAAGGTCCCTCGGTATCCTCCAACCAGGGACTCCCTGAAGGAAATAACCATCATATCAGGAAAAAATGTTACTTTTTGGAACAGGGTGGCTTCCTGAAAATGTGTATTTTAAATTACGCTGAATTCAGAGGAGGCCGCAGAACGGCAAAGAAATGGGCATCAACTCCAGCGTCCTCACCAGTTCATAATCCTAGCACAGGCTGTGTCCTGTGACCCGCCAAATGCCTGGTGACCCCTACCTCCACCTCCAGTCATGTGCTGAGTCTTCTCAGAGCTGCCTGGGGAGGGACAGGGAGTCCCTCCCCAGGCAGGAGCCAGGAGGCAGCCCCAGGCTTTGTGGTGCATGAGGTTTAAATAATGGAAGGAGGGGAGTGAGGGGAGTGGAAGGATTATGCAACTTTAAGGAAAAGAAGTAAAAAATCGGACTGCGACATTGCCAGACACCCCCACCCCGGCTCCAGGTCTCAGCAGGGACAGGGCAAACAAGGAGTCAGGGCAGCTTGAGTAAACGAGCCCTTCCTGGCAGGGCCGGGGTAGGGGCGGGGGGCAAGAAGTGAACCCCAGCTCTCAGGGGCTTTGGCTCAGACTGGTCGCATGCCTTGGTCCTGCTCCACTATGAGCTCCAAACCCCGCCCGCGGTTTCCTCCTCGGGACGCTAAGCTGGCCGGCCGCCGCTCCCTAGAGAAGGGGGACATGGCCGGGGCAGAGGACTGAGAGAACGAGAAAGCACATTTTAACTCAGACTTCAAGATTTGGGTGACAAAGTGCATTTCACTGCGGGAAGGAAACGCACTCCTGGAAGCGCCCAGGCGAGGGGACTTGCTCTCCTCGCGCTGCGGCCTCTGGCCTGTACACCCGTCGCGGAATTACCCGTTTGCAGGGCCGGGCAGGCTCTCTCCCGCGGCGGAGCGCGCTTGCAGGCGAGACCAGACAGCTGTGTGCAAAGCACCTGCGCGCGACGTCTCGGGGCTGGGGAGCTGCAGTAGACGGGTGGCTCTATTGCATCCCTGGCCGGACTGCACCGGTCAACCGTGGCCCCCAGCTCGCGGCCCCGGCCCCCACCCGTACACCTGCGGCCTGGGGGTCCGGTACCCGTCGGCCCCGGGCGCTTACGGTCTCGGCTCGCAGGCTCTGGCGGCAGCGGTCGGGGTCTGGGCTTCTCCGCGACGGGCCTGGCCTCCTCCGCTCTGGCCCCGCCCAGCCCCAGCCTCCCAGCGGGGCGTTCCCGCCAGCAGCGACCCTCCGTCCCGCCCCGCCCCGTTACCTGAGCGAACCGGGGAAGTGTGCGCCCCCTCCCTAACCGTCTCTCTTCTGCTCAGGGAAAAATCCTGCTACTCAAAGGGCGCCCCGAGGACGGAGTCCAGAACTGGAGACCAGGGCCAGGAACTCCAGCAATCCCATCTTGTAACTTTGTCAGCTGAATCAAAACAAAAACCCAAGCTTGCGTGGTGTACGCTCTCTCAATTTCACCCGTGGGACTGCATTTTGCAAACATAATGGTCTGCGACAGATTGGGAATTTAAAAACAAATTTCTTTCAACCGAGTCGAAGGAGCGCTGGTCCGAAACACTCTTCGTCTTCATGGCGAGGACTAACAGGGCCGCCGCTGCTCAGAGGGTAGCTAACTTGGTAAGTCCCAGCCCATTCAGAAGGCGTCAGGGTCCAAGCCTGGTTGCTGGGGGCTCTGCTAGACTCGGGCTTCTGAGCCAGCGTTAAGCCCCAAACCCTCGTTGGAAAACCAACTCACCTGTCACCACCCCTCCTTACTTCCTTGGCACCCCTTGGTGTCAGAAATGCAGCTGTTTCAACAACTGGCATCCTTAAGATCTCAGCAGACAGGGCCAGCCCTCTGCCTAGTGGTTATGGGAGCTGGATCCCACATGGCCAACCACTAGGCTTGGATCCCGGATTCTGCTGCTTGATAAACATGCTAGGTGCCTGTACCAGCACGCCCCAAATGCTGGCAGGATGGAGAAGGGAGTTCAGTGTGACCACACCCCCCGGGGGGGGGCAGAGTTCCTCCCCTCCCACCTCGAGCACACAGACCTGGCAGCTTAAAACTCACGCCTGTTGTGTGTGTGCGCGCGCCAAAGATCCCGAAATGAGAATGAGGCATGGCCATTTTCTCTAGGGGGTGGAGGGTGATTTCTCACGTTGTGTGTCTGTCTCTCTAGTGAGTTCATAAGCTCTATAACAAAAATCTCTCTCTAAAAAGGGGGGGAGACCTATGATATTCTTGAAGAGAGCAATGAATTGGATCTATGAGACAGTAGGAAGAGACAGTAAAAAAATATTCAGAGAATTAGAAAGTAGGTTTTTTGGAAAAAAAAATTTAACTGAAGTTTTGAAAATCGAGTTGAGAAATCTTACAGAAAAAAACAGAACACAAATCAAAGAGATGAAAGATCCATCCAGGAAGACACAATACTATTTAATAAATTCTATAAAAGAGAATATAGAAAGAAGAAAACTATTAAAGAAACAGACACAGAAAATAATGACCGCCTCTGTGGCATAGTGATAATAATGTGATAAAGCTGCTCAAGAAAAGCTGGATCCTCACTCCAGATCATGGTCAGTATCTGGCCCAGTGAGCCTGAAACACGCCAGGCATACACACGGGTGCCCGAGATCTGACATGCTGAAGAGCTGGAGGAAGGGGATCGTGGCAGAATCAGACCCTGTGGAGGGAGCTTTCCTCACATGCATGCACATGTTTTATCATGAATAAAGAAAATAACTTGTTTTAATTTAAAAATAAAAGAAATACAGGGGCTAGCAAGTGGCATGGTGGTTAGGTGCTAGACTCACATTTCCAACCACGACTTGAGACCTGTACCTTGTGGCTTGCTTTCTCACTTTCCCTGTCTCTCTGGTTGGTTGGTTGGTTGGTTTAATAAATACATTAATTTAATTAAATAATTCTTTTTAAAAAATCGTCCAAGAATATTTGTCAAGACAACTGACAGGAGTCTATAGACTGAATAGGGACATTTAAAAGTCAGACAATCTAGGACCAGCAGTTAAGAGTAATGGCTATGTTGCTGAACTCCTATGTAGTCGACTGCAGTTCAAGTCCTGGACCCAGTGGCTTAAATTCATGCCGGGCGTGTGTGTGCCCAAGATACCAAGAGGAGAAAGGAGGAGAAGGGACTGTGGTGTGGCCATCCCCCATGCGGGGTGATTTCTCGCTTTCTGTCTCTGTCTCTGTCTTTCTGGCGAGCGCACGTGTCCTGTAGCAAAAACCTCTCAAAAAACAGTCAGACAATCTACACCAATGCAAGTTATTGTGAAATTTCAGACTTCTAAAGAACAAGAAACGATCTTTAAAGTGTTTAGAGGGATAGAAACTTAAAATAGAAATGATTCAATAATCAGAATTGCATCTCAATGGATTCAGATTCTTAATTCAGAATCAGATTCTCAACAACACTGGATGTCATAAAATCGCAAAGTAAGGCCTTTAAAAGTCTATCGGAGGGGCCAGTAAGTAGCAAGGTGGTTAAGATGCCGGATTCCCACGTGGCTGACTGTGGTTCAAGTCCTGGACCTGGAGGCTTGCTTTCTCACACACACACCTCTCTCCATTGCTCTCTGGTGAGTGCACATGCCCTATAGCAAATTAATACAATAATAAATACAATAAATACTTCTTAAAAAAAAAAAGACTGTGAGAAAAGTTACTTCCAACAAATAATTCTATAATGGGGACCAGCAGTTGGCATAATGGCTATGTCGCTGGACTCCCACGTAGTCGACCACGGTTCGCGTCCCAGACCCAGTAGCTTCAAACTCATGCCGGGCGCGTGTGCGTGCGTGCCCAAGATCCCAAGAGGAGAATGGAGAAGGGATTGCGGCGTGGCCATCCCCCCTGGGGGGTGATTTCTCACTTTCGGTTTCTCTGTCTCTCTCTGTCTGGCTGGCAAGCACATGTGCCCTATAGCAAAAACCTCTCAAAAAAAAAAAAATTCTATAATGAAGTGTGGGAAATTAAAAGGCTTTTACACACATGCCAGGACTAAAAAGGTTTTTATGTCTCATGTTCCTTCTCTTGAGAAATTATTAGAGAATGTACTCCAGGAAAACAAGGGAGTTGATATATACAAGAGGAAGACATGGTACTTGGGAAACAGGGGATCTAATACCAGCGAGCAAGAAAGGAGAGTCCACTTGTCAGCTCCAGCAGGAA